ACCTAACAGTCATGTTTTTGGTCTATGGGAGGATGCCGGAATACCCGGAGAGAACCCACGCATGCACGGAGAGAACATGCAAACTCTACCCAGAAAGGTCCCCGGACCGGGATTTGAACCGGTGACCTTCTTGCTGAGAGGCATCAGCTCTACCAACTGAGCCACTGTGCCGCCCTAGTTACATATCCAACAAGTTAAAAATTATATTATTTTAGTTGAACAAATTGATGTGGATCTTCCATGAATCCCAAGCTTTTATGCGCTGTGAGGATATCAGTGTTTTCTAAACTTGCTGTTTCTGCATGAGTTGGAGAACTGAACATTTTTTTCTGCAACTTTTTTCTGCGCATAAATATCTTAGCAGTTTATTTACTGCAGGAATACTGAAGATGCAGCATTCATGCCATTTCACTGGGATTGGGTTGCAATCTTTGAGAATTTTACGAGTCATTTTCAAGGAAAAAACAGTAAAATGTTAAATAAGAATGCACAAAAGACATTTGAGAATATCAAAAAACCCTCACTTTTAGAAATTAGGTTAAAGCAACATCTACTAAAACACAGCATGACTCACAGATTTAAGTGGTGATCTAGAAGGCAATTTGACATCTTAATTTGTCAGTTGTTACTCTGTGTGCTAAAGCTGTTAGCGAGTGAACAATTTTCTTTGTTTTGTTTGCTGTCTTGTAGCACCTATGTGTGGAGGTCAATTAAAAGGACCGAGTGGTGTCATCACATCTCCTAACTACCCTGTTCAGTACGACAACAATGCCAACTGCACCTGGGTCATCACAGCAACGGAGACATCAAAGGTAAAACTCAATTGATTCTGGGATTAAATTTAAGGCTTTGTAATCAGTAGTTTTTGTGGCCCGTTTAAGTGATGCCAGGAGCCAAAAAAGAGGCCGACTGATCTGAGCAAACCTGTCATTGGAGGAACTCCAGAGGGAACACTTTTCTGACCCACAAGACTCATTTTACGCTTTGATAATTGCTACAGGACACTTTAGCAGAAGTTAATCTCACCATGTGACAAAGTGAAACACGTGAGAGATTAAACAAAAGAAAATGAACTTTGGGTTACAAAAAGAACTGGATGTGAGCCAACAGCAGACAAAGCAAGTTGTAAGAAACACCTGTGGTGATGGATAGAAGAACATGAGGGATTGGACAGGAGAAGAATTGAGAGGGTTTGAAAACGTGCTCAGAGGATAACATGGTAGTCTCAAAGCCGTTCTGTTTAGACCGTTGACTTTGGTTTGTGTTCAAGGCCATGCAGCTGCTTCTGTGCCAACATTCCCCTCGAAACTCAAATATTGGGCCTCATGCAAAAACGTGTTCGTATTCTTATCCTAAATTTCTCTTACTTTTGTTCGTACAAAGGGTTCGTACGAACATGCCACGTCAGATTCAACAAACACTTCTATCTTCAGCAAAAGTGTGTAAATGAATTACACCTGTTCTTTCCAGCTGCTCGTGCACGTGAGAGGAGATTAGCATAATTACCACCCCAAAAACACCATATAAGGCTATGTTTCCTGCCTCAGATATCAGGAAG